GGTGCTCCCTTCTCTATCTGAACAGCCCTTTCCTCTAGGATACCCGGCTGGCCTCTAAGTTATGGAGTAATCCTCCTGGTGCTGATCTCAGCTATTCTTGGGTATTAATCTCATACTTTGTTACTTTATATCCCCCAGATGAATGCAATCTTTCTATGTCTATCCCTCTCTTTCTGACTCATTTCGCTTAGCATGATACTTTCCATGTTGTACCACTTGTATGTAAATTTCATGACTTCATCTTTTCTAAGAGCTACATAGTACTCCATTGTGTAGATGTACCAAAGTTTCTTTAACCAGTCATCTGTTCTTGGGCATTCAGGTTTCTTCCAGTTTCTGGCTATTGTAAAGAGTGCTGCAATGAACAAACAAGTGCAGATGTCACTTCGACTATACATTTTTGCCTCTCTGGGATATATTCCCAGGAGTGGTATTGCTGGGTCAAATGGGAGCTCAATTTCTAATTTTTTGAGAATCGGAGGACACACTTTTATGAACCATTATGACTGGGACATTTGTCGGGTTATGAATGGCCCTCCTTTCTGTGTAAAACTAACAAGGCAATTCCTTTTCTGGACTTCCTCTGACCACAGCAATATGAATAGTGATGCTCTGTAGCAGACGCTTGGAATTATTCTATTAATCTAAGTTTCACAAACCTCATTTTAAAAGAAAAAGTTTCCATGGGCAACCATCTGTTTGCTCTTCACCTATCTTGGAGCCCTCTCAACAGCATAAAGCAACTTAAAGTACTTAAAATCACAACAGAAGCAAACAGAGTAAAGACATTTATCCTCATGGCCAAGCACAGTTACAGATTCTTGTGTTGCTGGAATGAATCATGTTCCAAGCTTCCTCCCAGACAGTGGAATCAGTGAATGAGGAACAGTTCTAGCCTTTAATGGAACTGTAAAGTCATCAGTCTTCATTGCTTCTTATCTACCATCTTAGCTCCAACAACTTTTCTTCACTTACTTGTTACTCTCCAACCTTTTAATGTCCAACAGAGGTTCAATATTTCTAATACCTTTCTAACAACCACTTTTCCCAATAAGAAAGTGCATTTCTTCAAACCTTGAAAGTCTCCTAGGCATACCCAACATTTATAATTAGATTCTTTCTTATCCCCAGTTCTCCTGGAATGGCTTAAATGATTAAAAAAAATTTATTACCATGAGAGAAAACTTTAAATTTTTTCAAGTTTTATAACATTATTTTCCCAGAAGCTTAAGTTTTGCTGTAAGCACTCTTTCTACTCTGCCTTTTGTCAGTCATACTTAATCAGTTGAATCTTTCCCTTGACCGACATTGTAATCTCATATTCTTCGTGTGTATGGGATGAGTTTTCACTGCCATAGGTTAGGCAGCATTATTACTGTTACCTCCAAGTTCATTTTTAGGTGCGATTCTTTGGCTCTACTCTTTATGTCTGTAACTTTCTAAACTTTCACACTAGTTACTATAAAATTAACATTAAAATATGCTGAGATTCTTCCTCGCCTTTTTGGGATAATATATATTTTATCTTCTCTAACACATCTCCCTTGATGTTACTCAAATACAGAATTATTAATAGCTTCCAAATTTTCTCACCTTGTATATTACTTTTCTAAAATGACACAGTATATTCCAACTATTAGTTGACATTTTCTCTCTCTTGATATCATGACTTTTTGGCTCTTTTTTTTGTTTTGTTTTTGGTTTTGTTTGGGGCCCACACCCAGCTATGCTCAGGGGTTACTCCTGGCTCCACCCTCAGGAGTTGCTTCTTGCGATGATCAGGGACTGTATGGGGTGCCCAAGATCAAACCTGGGACAGCCGCATGCAAAGCAAGCACCCTATCTGCTGTACTGTCACTCCAGCACCACTCGTAATGACTCTTTTTGTCACTTCATTATTATTATGGCAGGTGAGAGGAGTTTTAGGAGTGAACCAGTACCATATTCTGTATTTTTCTACAAGTGACAGGTGCAAATCTGGTAGGTTTAAACAAAAAACTTCTATTCATGTTTCTGCATTAGAACAACGTAGATGCTATTTCTAATAATGGGAGCCACTACATGGAAATCCCTTTGTTAAATGCTTAGGTCACCTTGCCACTAACAAGTACTTTTCTTAAATAAGGGAAAATTATTAAGGGAATAAGGTTATTTTTCAGTAAGCAGGTTATGGGCTGGAGTGATAGCACAGTGGGTAGGGCGTTTGCCTTGCACACGGCCGACCTGGTCAACCTGGGTGCGATTCCTCCGCCCCTCTTGGCGAGCCCAGCAAGCTACCGAGAGTATCTTGCCCACACAGCAAAGCCTGGCAAGCTACCTGTGACGTATTTGATATGCCAACCATAGTAACAACAAGTCTCACATTGGGGATGTTACTGGGCCCGCTCGAGCAAATCAATGAACAACTGGAGGACCGTGCTAAATTATTATTATAGTATCCTCTATTTTTCTTAAAAGGAAGAAGGTTCATGTTTATTGATTGTTTTGGTGATTCAAAGAAAATAATATTAAAATTCCAGATACCGTAACTGACCAGAAAGGAAATAACATTTTTCAGTGAGATTTTTGATGGTTCTTGGATCAACCCTTTTGAAGAAGATTCTAAAGAACCTACATTTAAATTATCCAGGCACACTAAGAGACTTGGGAATACAGGGAGTATGGTCTGGCAAACCACTGAGACTTCCTAGATGCTTCTCGATGTTCTAGTTAATATCATGGTAGGAGCCCTAAGTGCCAGATTATACCCGGTTTTTCCAGACTCTCATTCTATTTAATAAGGCTTGACATTTAAAGATATATCTTTTTTCTTCTCTTTGAGTGGAGATTGATCATCATAGTAGATTACTTACTTTTATAAGATGGGAGTGGGCAGCCACATCTACAGAGAAAGATAAGGAATCAGAAGATTTTTTATCTTCCAGGGCACATATTTTTGAAAAGGAATTTTGGTCAGTGTCATTTTTCATTATCTTTTTCTAACTTCCTGATATTATGTGAATGTAATTATGGGCATCTTTTAAATCCTTTGAAAGCCCTGGATCCAGGTCTTAGATAATTTTTCCTCTCCAACCAATAAACAGGACAAGATAATGTGAACCTAACTCTATAACTTTAGGGAAAGTTTATTAATATTCACTTGCTAAAATATTTTCTTCTAGGACGGAAAAATTTATTCTATTCTCATTTTCAAACTTTTTCGGGTGACTTGGAGTCACTTACCTATCTCAGACAGCAGATCTCTGTGGGATATTTACTTCAAGGACCAAAAAAAAAGCATTAGTTCTTACTCTGATCAGTTCTTATCAACAAATGTCTCTCTATTTTAGCATCTTTCACTGACTTTAATATTATAAAGTTGACCTGGTGGTTTATAACACTAATACTTAACCTATATCCCAGCTACTGAAACACTCTTTGTAGGTGGCAGGTTATTTTCCTTTTAAAATCAGATACGACATTTCCTATAGCAAACCAACATGATAATGGAAGACACCCTTGTACGGTAAACTCACATGGTGTATTTGTCATTTGGTGTAACCTAAAAGCGAATTCTTAGGAATAAAGAAGACCATGCAGTAGTGGTCTTGCCATCTATGTGGAGCAGTTAAAGCCATGGAGGATATCCTGAAAGCTTAATTCTAGCTCTTTGGCTCATGAAGGAGAAACTACTGTCTCATTCTCTGTGTTCTGGAGATAGAAATAGGAAGTATAAGAGAAATTTCGGAGGAAACACTAAAACTAAATAAATATTTACAGACCACATAGAATATTTACAAAGTAAATATATTTTACATTCATTTGGGGGAGAATTTCAATTCATATTTCTTTTCATGAATTTACAATAATATTTAGAGAAGACAGTTCCACTGCCAGGGCAACAAGGTATACCTGCAACATTGTCCTGATGATATATGCGGTCAATGTTCTAAAAGCCCAACAATGTTTTCAAAGTGAAGTACAACTTCACTATCAGAAATATGGTCTGGGCAGTGGATAGAGAACCCAAGATGTAGGAGCATGTTCCTTAGGGATTGTTGGCCCAGCTCTATCAAACCACTAATGGGAAGGCCTCTGTAAAGTCGTATTCCATTTCTATCAGTAAAGAAGGCAGGAGAGGACATGTGTTTCCCTGAGAATTCCAAACAAGTTGATTAAGATGTTTGTGAGCTTGAGGCTCTCATCAAGGAATGCTGCCGTTGGGAGGTGCGTGTGTGTGTGTGTGTGTGTGTGTGTGTGTGTGTGTGTGTGCGCGCACGCGCACACATGTGTGTGTGGGGGGCTGTCATTGGACAGTTTGTGCAAATACAGTTGTCAAGGCAAAGAGAGAGGGTGTTGTTTAGCATTAAAGTCGTGTATTCCAGATGTGGGCACTTGGTAGTCAATCTGCTCTGAAGTGACACGTTGCTGAATCTTTAAAGGGCTTCAGCTGGGAAGAGCAAAATCTGATTGGGCAAATTGCTAAAATATTTAAAGTGCAGCCTGTTAAAGCTTTTACTGCGAAGAGCATCATGTCAGAAGTTGTAGTCAGAAAGAGCGAGTAATTGGCTTTCCATCCCTGTGCCAGTCAGTCAGCATGAGGCTCTATTCCTATTCCTTCCTCTTCATTGCCAATGCTAATTGCCACCCTTTTACGTGTGTGTGTGTGTGTGTGTGTGTGTGTATGTATGTGCATGTACACACATGCTGGAAAGATTGAATAGCTGGTAAAATGAAAGGAGGATGTAATATTCATAAAAAAAAAGGGAGACTAGATCTGCAAAACCAGAAACAGAAGAGAAAAATGAAATAATTACTTGGCAAAGTTCCACTTCCAAGCAGGTCATGGTTTGGACCAGTTGTCATTGAAAGGTTGGGCTCTGCAAGCAAAGAACTGGCCATCAGTGACAACTACTTCCTCTGCATCTTTTATCTCCTCTGAGATGTAACTTAAGGGACAAAGTTGCCATTTATAATTGATCACCTTTCCCACGTAGGTTTTTATATCCCTTTCTCTCCAGGCATGACCCTTTGTTAATTCCTGGGAATGATCAGATTGACAACATGGACTCCAATGTCAAGAAGTATGACTCTACAGGGATGTTCCATTGGTGTGCACCCAAGGAGATAGAGAAGGTCATCCTGGTGAGTGACAGACGCAAAAAAGGTGCCATCTACTTTGTCCCTAATTCACATTTGCTCAGAATAAAGTTTTCCAAACTGGATGATGAGATGACTTAGCTCCTGTTTCCAATTATTTTATTGAAACTGTTTTATTGGAACTGAAATTTGGAACATGTATTGAAATAGCTAGAACTCTCATCAGGTATGATCCAAGGTGGAATTTTCCATCTTTGCATATATATTGGCTCATTACAATGGGGAGTGACCAGATGCTGGGTGAGCGTCCTGAAGTCAGGGAGCACCTGTGGACATGGTGCCAGGCCAGAGCTGGTCTGTGCCACTGATGAGCTGCGTGGCTTTGGCTTAATCTCTTTGATTTTATTCTCTTATCTGTAAAGAGATGAGACAAGATGAAAACCCAGCATAAGACTCAAAATAATCACCAAAATGCTCGGAAAAAAAAATAGCTGATTTGCTATTTGTATATAACAATGCCTTATATCCTAAATAATAACCTTACATAATTATGATTTTATTTTTAGCACACGATATAGACAGGCAAACTAATTTGTTAATAGTCATGGTGGTAGACGAAGCATCTGACTTTAGAAAGAAGAAAGGCTCAGGGCCTTGTTATGAGCTGTGTCCATCTCAGCGGGGCTCACTGACTTCTCATCTGTCTCAGGGCTGTCAGTGTAGGTCACACTCCATTCTTTAGAGTTCTCTAGATTTGTCCAATTAACTGCCTTAGGTTTTAATGCTGACATCAGCTCTCTTCCATTTATTGTCTTACTAATCCATGAAAAATGGATTAATAATCAGGAAAGTCAACAAAAGTGTTCTTTTTCCCTGATGCTCCTAATTCCCAATTGCTGTGGCTTGCTCCTTTATGTCATCCAGGAAAATCTTATCATTTTGGATGGCATGGCCATCCACACCCCTCCTGTCCCCGCTGCTAAGAAAAAAACAAAAAATAAATAAGAAAAACAGCCTGGTTCAGTTTCTCAGAAGGGCACTGTCCTCTAATCCACTAAACTCCTCCTGGTTTGATTTGAATGTGTATGTGTTTTCTTAATTTAATTATAATTGAGCATTAAGAGCCAGTACAACATTGTACTGAGGCTGTCGAACAGGAGTGGAGAGACAGTATCGCAGGAATGGCTCTAATTTTGCATGCAGTCCACCTGGGTTCAGTCCCTGGCACCGCAAATTGTTTCCCTGAACACGTCCAGGAGTGATAGCTAAGCACAGAGACAGAAGTAAGCTGTATGCACAGCCAGCTTTGGCCCCCAAACCAAAAAGGAAAAAGGAGAGAAACAGCAAACCAAAGCCCAGAAACTCTTCATTGTCAGCAAGCAGTCAGTGTCTGGCCTATCAGGAGATGCACTTGTTTTCAATCATAGGGCCACTGCATGCATTTGCGTCCTGCTGCTGCACCTTTGTCTGGTAATCTGATTTTAGTCAGGTATTTCTTGCACTTCAGCCAAAGTTGGGGTGCTGGAACTGGAGAGATAGTACAGCTGGTAGGCTTTACCTTGCATGCAGCTGACCTGGGTTTGATCACCAGCAACTCATATGAACCCTTGATCTTACAGAAAGTGATCCCTGAGTACAGAGTCTGAGTATTACCAGGTGTGACCTCCTACCCCCAAAACACGTGGGGTTCCATATTTGGGATGTAGGATTTCCATAGCTTGCCTATATCTGAGGAGTATATTACTCATTCATACCCAATCCAAGTCCTTTGTAGACAAGAAAGAGTATATGGAGATAGGTTTCTACTTCTGATATCTAAAAAGAAAATATTTATAGCTAGTATTTTCTGTGTTAGTTACGTCTTTCCTTGTATATGCTCTTATAGAGCTTGTGTTCCAGTGGGGACAAAGAGAAGACACCACAAATGACAAACACATGTATATTAGCAGATCAGATATTGAAAAAATGCTGTGAGGAAAATTACCCAGGGTCATAGTTAGGAAGGGAGTAAGAAATGTTAATTGTATCCTTTGGCCAAAAAACTCTCCCTAAAGTGCTGAGGACACTCACAAGAGCCAATCTGGTGCAAATATATCAATCTTGTGTCTATTCACTGGGTGTAGAACTTGTGCTGCTTTGGGGTGAGAAAATGTGAGATGATCTAGGTCTTGAGGAAATGGCCGTCTAATAAGAGAGAAGCTAAGAAATGGACCCATTAACCAGTAGATCAAAGCTAAAGGTTCTGAGGCGGAAAGAAGTGCTATTCAAATGCAGGGGAGCAGGATTAGCCTGTAATTAAATGGCCAGGCAAATCTTATTGACTACAACTAGGTTGCCTTTGGAATGCATTTAAGGCCATTAAGGCCCAGCTTGGATTGGGCCCTGAGGACATGTAGGTAATATAAGATGTTCATGAAAAATTTCACTAGTGGTCCTGACACCTGACAGGATAAGCCTCTCCAAGGTTTTTCTCCCCCCAAGATTCTCAGGGGAAGTGTCTCCAAGTCTGCTGTTGCTGGACTCAGATTGGCACTTTGGTCTCCAGATCTAATCTTGTGTGTCTTGGCTACTCCATTACCTGGTGCACCCTGATCCCATATCCCTATTTCACATTTCCTGTATCTCCTCTGGATGCAGTTTGTATTCCTCAGCTATTGCAGAGTCAGGCTCCCAAGTGATTTGCACAGTTAAAAGTAATAAGGAGCCCCATATTGGCATGCTACAGACTGGTTGATCTACCGGTTTGGGTACCCAAGCACTCAGACTTGATATCTAACTGCTGGTCTCCTCCAAGAGGCTGTGATGTGGAAAATGACTCCCCAGTGGGTCCTTCTCGGTCCCAATTTAAAACACATTTCTAATAGCCCAATGTCAAGGTGTCCCTGTTTGGTTGTAGAGGGAAACCAATAATGGTGACAGCCTCTGCCTTATTCTAACGACCAGGGAGTGAAAGCTAGCTTCTTTCCCTCCTTGGGGGCTACTGTAATAACTCTGACATCGTCGTGAATTGCAATATTGGCATTTAAACAATCAATAAACTGGTCAATTGTAGGGATTAAATTGAGCAGAGTTTGATGAATGCTTTGGATATTAATATGCCTCTCCCAAAGCATTATAAGTCACATGGAGCCATTCGGGCATGCAATTGGTGGGCAGGGAGGAAGGATGGTGAGGTAGGTGGTATTGAGGAAGGAAGAGAGGTAGAAAAAGACCCACAATAGTGTTTTTTCTTCATTAATGCAGTGAGCCAAAGGACACTGAACATTTATGTTTCCTGGGAAACTCGAGGTGATTTCATTCTCTCAAATTGGAGTGAAAGAATACATTCATTTGTCGCTGTTATGGATGCAGGCCTAGATCTGGGAAAGACATGGACTAGTTGCTCTAGTCGATCTAACTCCAGATACTTCGTGTTGATTAGTTGGGAGTTTTTCTCTGATGAATTACGCATGGTAGGCTGTTCCAGGCACGGCCTTAGGGATTCCAAGGGAGCTGTGAATAAGGTTTAGCAAACATTTTCTGTAAAGGATCATATACTAAACATTTAGAATTTGTTCTCACAATAAACATTGCTATCATAGTATAAAGTCATCCTTATGTATTACTTAAATGGATAGGCTTGCCAGTTTCAATCAAATTCTACTGACATTTGAATCTCATAAAACTTATACCAGTTATGAAGTAGTCTTTGGTTTCTTTCAACCATTTAGAATGCAAAATCCAGTCTTAGCTTACTGGCCATGAAAAAGTAGATGGAATATCAGATTGGTCCCCATACTATTGTTTGTCAGCCTCCTGGATGGGTCTCCTACCCATTGCTGTTATGTGTATTATCACATCTCATTGATGAGTCTAGAACACAAACGTCAAATTTCTCAAAAATACAACCAACATAGACTCTGACCAATTTATCATCTTCTGAGTGAGCTAGACAGAAATGCAACATATTCCACAAAAATTTCCCTCCTCAAAACCATTTTGGAAGATCTTTATAGATACATGTGGCATTTAAAAAAATATTATGAGGTGTATGTTCACATATACATATTTCACCAGTATAATACACCTATATTCGAATAATAAATGTATGGCATATTTTTAACACTGATGAAATAAAAAGAATAGCATACATACTCTACAGAAAGCGTTGAAAACATGTCTAATTTGTCCTTTATACAATTACTTTTCAGTTCTGATGCAACCTATGAGGTCTTTTGTTCAAAGCTTATGACATTCTTCCTGTTACAGACTCGAAGCGAAGCCGCTATGACAGTCCTGAGTGGCCACGTGGTGGTCTGCATCTTTGGAGATGTCAGCTCAGCCCTGATCGGCCTTCGGAACCTGGTGATGCCACTTCGTGCCAGCAACTTCCATTACCACGAGCTCAAACACATCGTGTTTGTGGGCTCCATTGAGTACCTCAAGCGAGAGTGGGAGACACTTCACAACTTCCCTAAAGTGTCCATATTGCCTGTAAGTCTGGGGTCTCATTACAGTACTTCTAGTTCCTTTTCTTTCAAACAGAAATAGTCCTAGTTGTGACTTTGACCATCCCTCTGATTCCTCAGGCACAGAGGACTGAACTTTTCTCCTCTGCCAGTCTAGGAAAATCCAGACCCAGGACAGCCAAGTTTAGTCATTGATCAGACTTCAAGTTTAACTGGAATCAAATTTATTAAACATTTTTTGGTGTCTAAACATTTTCTCTCTTGCCTATCTGAAAGCTAGTTGATACTTCGTTGCAGAATTTTGAGCATTTTATATACCACATAATAATGCTTGGGGAATATTTGATTGCACAGTGTACCATTTTTTAACTAAATGGGTTTAATAAAGGTTTTATTTCTGCAGTGCGTTAGGCCAGTCACTGCTGCTGTCCAACCTCTACCTCTCTTCTTTAGAAGTCCAGAGAACATGGGTTTTGAGTGTATGTGCACATTTGCATGTGACATTTTAATTTATAAAATACTAGCACCCCCCCCCCCAAGAAATAGTTTAGGTCTCCTCCTACTACTCTGAGGACTTAAAATACATGATCTAAGAGTTATGTAATCATTTAAAAATAATAAATCAATATTTTTACATAAGCCCTTAAAAGTTGTACTTAGAATTCCAATATATGATATAGTTCATGGTGTAATAGTCCCATGCAAACTATTCTCAAAACATTTTTCTTGGAGGATCAGATCCCTAAAACTGAGCAACATAGATTCATTTAATCCCACAAGATGTCTAAGTTTTCTTCCCATTTTGGAATTAAAATACATTACATCTACTCTCAGTTTTAGAAACTCAGAAATGGAAAATGAAGCGTCAAATAATATAATTCAACAAGAAATAGACCAGTAATATTCATTGATAGCCACCATTTATTCCCTATACATGCCTGTGTAGTCTCGGGGTGGCTGGGGAAAGCCCCAGCAACTCTCCCTCTCGCTGCCAGGGTTTTGTAGACTTGAGTGGCTCCCCCACCTGGGGCGGCCCATGCTATGGACAGACAAAGGAGGAAGTGAGAGCCAAGCTGGTGGATTGATCAGTTTGCCGTTTATTCCATTCTCCCCACGTTCCTGTTCCAATCTCTCTAAGCCCTTCATTCTAGTCTCACACTGTCCCTCATTCTTATCTCCTGTCTCTCCTGCACATCTCTCTGCACTCCCTCTCTTGGCCACATCTCTCATCTCTCCATTCTTCCGCTACATTCTTCTCCCTCTGTACCCCTTGCTAGTCTCTCCATGCTCCATCTTGCTGCCCTAACCTGCGCTCTCTCTCTCTCTCTTTCTCTCTCTCTCTCTCTCTCTCTCTCTCTCTCTCTCTCTCTCCTCCCTCCTCTCTTTCCAACTCCCCTCATTATGGTAGAACATCAACATATCAAAAGCCCTTCCTAACCACCATCCTTCAGGCTCAAGGGCAGAAATATCATCTAGGGGTATTTCTCCTCTCCTAGTCCAAAGGGGCTGGAGCGATAGCACAGCGGGTAGGGCATTCGCCTTACAAGCGGCCAACATGGCCAACCCGAGTTCGATTCCTCCGCCCCTCTCGGAGAGCCCGGCAAGCTACTGAGAGTATTCGATATGCCAGACACAGTAACAACAAAGTCTCCAATGGAGACGTTACTGGGCCCGCTCGAGCAAATCGACGATCAACGGGAGGGCCTTTACCTTTACCTAGTCCAAACAAAAACAAACACTGTCCTCCAGTTGTTCATTGATTTGCTCGAGCAGGCCCAGTAACGTCTCCACTTTGAGGCTTCTTGTTACCGTGTTTGGCATAGCTTGCCAGGCTTTGCCGTGAGGGTGAGATACTCTCGGTAGCTTGCCGGGCTCTCCGGGAGGGGTGGAGGAATCGAACCCAGCTTGGCCAGGCTGGCTGCGCACAAGGCAAATGCCCTACCGCTGTGCTATCGCTCTTAGTCCAATAACTTAATTGACATCTTAATTCTACTTCTTTTAATATTAGTTATTTTGTATGGACACAGTAAGAGATATATTGAGCTGGTAGGGTGGCTCCCCTGGGGACATCTTGCCACAGACTCAGACTACAGTGCTGAGGCCGGATTAATCATTCCTAACCCTAGCAGGGTTCGAATTTAGTTATTACTTTTTGGATCATGACAGAATTTGTCCATGACCATGTTCTTAACTTATAGTTAAATATTATGGCGCTTTGGCCAGGCCCATTTCGATGCCAGAGTAGCTCACTGCTTGCCCTGGGTCCATCCAGTCCCTTGTTGGGACCCTGCTTTTGTGGTGCTAGGAAGTAAAGGCAACTGAAGCTTAAGTCAAGAGAACAGATGTCCAGGAGTGAATATCATTAAGAGTCAATTAACTCCCATTACAAATGCATAGTATTGACTGTCTTCCTGTGTCCATACAAAAAGGACATTGTTCTGAATTAACTGTACAAAGCACTTAAGGAGAAGAGAAAAGCAACATTTACAAGTTAACAGAGAACAAAGAAAGAGGTTACAAATAAACACAGAGAAATGGGAGCACTGTGATGGGAGTAACCCTATAAACCAAACCTTTCTGCTTCCCTGTGGCAAGCAGAAAGGACAAACCGATGTTATCCTACATGTGCCTGTTACAATTAGTACTAAATAAATGCTTAGATAAGTGAGAAAATTGCAGACATATCTTTTGGATGCTAGACCAAAATATTTCCTAATGAGCACAGGTAGTTAAATTATCACCTGCAGAAAAACAAACGTGCACAGAATATAGATATACATGTATATAAATCTTATTAATATCAGACCATGATAAGCATGAGTATATATTTCCATGATTATCCTCCTATTTGTGTTTTCTACATTGACTAGGTTCTGAAAATACTTTGTAAAATGTTTATTTTTTTCTGAGATAAATAGGTCCATGTCGTTGTATGTTGTACTCTATGTCTTCAGTCATTTCCTGAATGTTCCCTTATCTCATCTATGACCAGCACAGAAAAACATCTCTGTTTCTGTTTATATAATGTATATTTTGGGTTTTGAAATATGTATCAGTAATTTGTACAGGAATCTTCTTATAATTGCTACTTAATTTCCTACAAGGATACGATTAAAAGAACACTGATGTAGGCAATAAGCTTATGCGCTAGAAGTTAGCCAGAATGATTTTGTGCCAACAGATCCCAGAAAAGAAAGGATTCTTCTCTCAGAGTATTATGTGTTAGAATCTCAAACTCTAGTATCTTCTCGGGCTGGCTAGCATAATATTCCTCTTCCTTTGTCATTCACTTTGCAACAATCTTTTGGTGACTGAGACTGTTGTGACTGTCTGAAAGACAAGATCAAGGCCAATTTCTTTTTTTGGGGAGATGGGGGTTCATACCTGTTGGTGCTCAGGACTTACTCCTGGATCTTTACTCAGGAATCATTCCTGGCAGGAATCAGGGGACCATATGTGGTCAGTGCCAGGGACTGAACCCAGCTTGACCGTGTGTAAGGCTAGTGCCCTGCCCACTCTGGCCCCCTAGGCCAATTACTGCTGCCAAGTTCCATCTTCTGGGAGCCCTATCATTAGGCCGGAGAAGAGAGGAAGGCACCCAGAGGTATTTGACAGTTGGTAATCTCTTTTTCCTACATGCTGAGTTGACCACAACTCCAGTCTTCAGACAGGCACAAATGTCCATTTACCATGTAGGCGAAATAGACTAGTGCACCCAGGAGACTGGGTCCTGAACATGCCCTCAAGGATAGTGCCACATGACCTTTGGGGCTGTGACACTTTGGCCGGAGGGTGTTTACTTTGCTGTAGGAGTCATGCCTCCTATTCCAACATAGATTGTTTTTATTGTACCCATGGTTGCATTCCTGCCTTCTCTGCCATTGCTCTTTGATCCAGATTATTTTTTCCTACTGATTTTGTTGGTAATGTAATTTAAAAAACAAATCTGTTTAAGGACTTATTTATTTTTAATTACACCACTAATGTACAGATATGTTCTTGTTATAAAATATTCAAAGAACAAGACTTATATAAAGTCAAAAACAAACTTTCCCTCTACCCCCTGCCCATCTCCCCTCCCCAGAGGTAATTACTGTTATTAGTTAAGTGTGTATTTTTCCTGAACTTTCTGAATATGCATATGCTTATAAATGCATTCATAAACAGATAGTTTGATTTTGTGATTTTCTTTTATGTAAATGAAACCCTACTTTGCATTCTGGTTAGAAGTTGCTGGAGTTTTCTCTTTCACTTGCTCCTCTGTCTTAGAGATTCTTCCAAAGCAATAGCTGCACAGAGAGCTGTTTCAACTCTTTACGTAGAAGTTTGTTGTATTTACTTTCAGTTGAACTATTCCTATGTTGTTGGACAATTAAGGCATTTCCTTGTGTTATTTTTTCCCTTGCTGCAAATATGCAATACATGATAAGATCTAAAGCTTAACTCATTTCCATCTCCCCTTTGCAAGATGCCCATCCTTTCCTCCACCTCCTACACCTTCCCCATCAAGCAGAGCTTTCGGCCTCTTCTAATCACACTGGTGTCCACTGGCTGTTGTCCCTTGGCTGCATTGAAAATATTAGTTGGAGCTGCTGTCCTCTGCCTGGAAATTAAGTGACCTGCTATTAAATAACCAAGCAGTTGAAACCCACCCTGTCCTTACATTCTGAAAGCCAGAGGTTGCCACAGGACAGTTACTTAAATCAAGACAATTTCTAGGCAGGAAGAAGATGTAGAACCCTGGCATTATTCCTTGCCCCGTTTTTGTTAGTAATAGCTTGATTGAGTATTGAGAGCAAACCTAAAACGCTGCCATCAGCACCAACTACCCTTTAGATTAGCACACGGCTCCTATTCCCTGGAATGTAGTTAGGCCAGCTTAATGTCAAGGCATAAAAAAGATACTTGTTAAATAATTTCCCACAGCACTGGTTCAATCTTTAATTTGTTTTTATTTTCTTTCCTCCTCTTCCCTCTTGACCCTCTGTCTCACTTTTGCTTCTCTTTTTTTTTTATTCCTTTCCTCTATGCCAAAGGGTACGCCATTAAGTCGGGCTGATTTAAGGGCCGTCAACATCAACCTCTGTGACATGTGCGTTATCCTGTCAGCCAATCAGAATAATATTGATGATACTTCGCTGCAGGACAAGGAATGCATCTTGGCGTCACTCAACATCAAATCTATGCAGTTTGATGACAGCATCGGGGTCTTGCAGGCTAATTCCCAAGGTAAGGATGGCCTATAATACTTCTCTGTGAGCCTGTGGGGGACAAGGGCTGGCAGGAGGGATATCCTTCACTCTGCAATGCGAAGAGGCTCACATCAGCCTGCTTGTCAGTGAAACCAGCATTTCTGTGATGACTTTCAGAGTTGTCTACAGCCTCTTCTTGCCATCCTGGCTTGAGAATTGAGCATCCACATGCAGTATAGCTTATCTTCTTGGAGAACAATCCACTTCTTCAGCCTTCCCAAATAGTGACTTCATGACTAGGCTCACCACCTAAATGCCAGAGCACCACAACTTGCTGGCTGAATGATCCCCTTTGGCTCCCTGAAACATATACTTTGGGCCTTGATCTGGGCAGGGTTAAGTTTTGCCATTGTTGGACTACCACATCTACATTGCTACATGCCAAGCGAGGGAAAAAGTCCTATGGAGACTGGGGACTCCATGAAGATTAAAATCATTTTGCAAGAGGTGACACTCATCAGTGCCCATGTTCTCTGTCGAGGACCTGACAATGTTAAGTGATGTGCATCTGCCTGCTCTGCTCAATTTATCTTCCCTGTTTTTGCTATGAGATCTGGGGCAGATGGTTAGAGGGAAGATGTCATCCAGGAGTCTCAGGGAGGCTGCAGAGCAAAAATCCAGCCACAAACAGCTCCACTAATCAAGGCCTTGGCAGAAAAGATGTGAAGCATTTTACTCTGAGTAACACTTCTGTGTGCTTGGCATCCACGATGGAATCATGGTCATATGTGGCCTGCTGCTTATGTGGGGGGTGGGCGTTATGACATGAGGTACTCGAGGGGGCCTGAATCCTGTCATTTCAGGAGACACAGCTTGTGAGAAGCTAGAATTATGGATGTGAAGCACCATCTTTTTGAGATGAGAAAGCTCAGCTTCATTGTTCAGTCTTATGTGCTTTATTCTCTTTTGTCAACTCAGCGTCATCAAACATCTGCTCAACCTTGTGGTGCAATGGGGCCAATCCTTTCTAGACTCCTTTCCTGCATTGTTCTGGCCTGGAGCCTACCACTGAGAGGGGCAAAGGAGGAGGGGCAGCTGCCATCAGACTCTGTGCAGACACAGGATCCAATTTTCAGGGAGTTTCCTGAGAACCCCTGACTTTGTCGCTAGGAATGAGAGAGGAGGTGGGAGCTTGAGATACACAGGTCAGGAGAACCTTCCACTTGGTGTTGGAGGTGAAACAGTTAAAAATGGTTTGGCCTCTTGGACTTTTGTTCCTTCCAAGGATTGAGTCAATCCCCAATTTTCTTCATCCTTGGACTAGAGCACCTTCTGTTCTTGACATAGTCTGGACTGAGTCAGCATGAAGCCTGCCTTTGAACTCGCCACCCCACCCAGCACATCCCCTCTCTACTGCCACAGAATTCTTGATATTCACTTGCTGAACTAGACTCAGAGGAGTAAACAAATCAGGGTGGAAAGGGACTGCATTCTTGTCTAGCTGGCCACCTTGTGCATCGCCTAAAGGCATAGAAGTGACAAAGGATGTAAGCAGGGAGCAAGATGGACTTGTCAAGAGGAAGGAGCAGGCTAGCGATTGGTTTTTTGCCTTTACGAATTTGTTGCTGCTCCTGCCACAGCATGCACTTTTCCTAGAGGCCTCCTTAGAAATGCAGAATCCGCTTGCCCACTCTGGTACCTACTGGGTTCAAATCAGCATTTGAACAGAAATCCCCATCTACACTGCTTTAAGGCACAATGAATTTTCATGCTAACAAAGCTAGGTCTGGTGAACATGCTGACCAATTTGATTAGATATACCTCTTCTCCCAGGCAGAACTAGCAAGGAGAATGGAAAGAAGTGTTAGCAGAAGCAGTGCCTTCTGTTGGAAGTAGACGCCTGTAGGAAGGGATAGAATGGAGAGGGAGGCAGCAGGGAACAAGGCCTTTCCAGACTTTGCTTATATTTTTGTCTCATTTACTAATCATGATTTTTGAGGTAGAGAGATAAAATCCCAACGTGTAATTTAACTTCATACATATCGAACACTGGTGAGCCTTTCAGAACTCATAACACACTCAGCCTTCAGATCCCAGGTGATGGCCAAACTAGGAAAAATGTTTCTGCTCCCCTCCTGTCCACAGACACTCTCCAGTGCTCAGATTCCTTTATCTCAGGAGTCAGTGGAAATCAAGTGAATGGCAGGTCACATTTTTTTTTCTATAAACACACACACACACACACACACACACACACACACACACGCGCGCGCACACACACACACACACACACCCCAAAGGAGGCAGAGCTCTGCTTACTGGCCAGTGTGTTTTTCACAGACCGGTGCAGGTTGGCAGTGGGGGAGCGTATGCCCCTGTAGCCAGGAATCAGCATAGGAACTGTATGTTGAAGAAATAAGGACTTGATGTCAGGTCTTTGTTTCTCCTTGTTTCCTTATCCTGCTTCTCCTCTAGTTTTGGTTTTTAAAAATCTCCTCTGGTGACATTCTGACCTTTCAGATGAGAATGATCCAGTGGTGGTCATCAAGACTAAAAGCCACTCCTGTGTATTTGCTCCCAACCCCTACCCTTGACTGGGGCATGAGCAAAGTATATGTTTGCCTCTGGCCGCTTTAGCTATAAATGCTACTCTTGGGGTTTGTCTGGTCTGTGTGCTTATTTGGGTCAGCTGACTTTCTGTTCATTCTCCATCCTTGGGACACTTTCTACCACTTGGAATGCTCATTTGTCCCAGAGACTTACGTTAGCTTTCATCGGATCTTTGACCAGGACCAAGACCCAAATGGATTAGAATTTCAGCATCTCTAATTGATTTCATGCTACTCATTTCATTTTGAGGAGCACACCTACCCTCCACTAAGTAATTACAACTTAAGGTTTCCTATTGCTGCCACCCCACATTCTATCATTATTTTGTAATTTTTATGAAAGCCCATCCTTTGTTTTATCCTGAGAGTTATTTTATTATTGCTTCAGAACTCAGGAGGTTAGAAATATGTTCTTAAAACAAATTGGTGTGCTTTTGAGTGTGAATAGTTGCATACCTTATGTAAAGTTGTTCTGGAATAATACAACTTAATTAAAATTTTTTTTTAACATTTTCAGGATAGACACATGTATTTTTGTACCTCCACCTGCTCTTGTGTGTTATCTGGTATCCTAGACCAATGAACCTCTTTTCCCTCTTCCTTTTTTCCACAATTCTTGTGGATGTCACTATTCTAAACCACATGGTGTCAGAACTGGCCTAGCCTAGGGATTCTGGACCAGACAGACACTTTCTGAAAGGATCTGAGATGTGATGGCTGGTTGTCAAAAACAATTACAAAGAAAGGTGGCATGTCCCAAGCTGGATGGTATATCCGATGTGACAGTTGGGTCTATGAGATGCAGTTTTAATATACATAGCAGGCAAGACTGCAGTGACAATTACATAAAGCAGGTGAAGCTGCTTCTTGCTGGTCAGCAAACATCAGCTCAGAACCACTTTACAGCTCTTTACCAGCAACTAAGTGCCTTTATTTACAGAGTGCCTGTCACTTCCCTTTGGCTGGAGAGCTGGTGTATTATTTAGCACGCATTTATCTGGGGAAAACATTTCAATTTAAATCAGATGGTACAACAGTGGCTCTTGTTAGACTGTTTCCCTGTGGTTCAAAAAGACAAGAACTGGGCTGGATCTTGGGAGGGACGATGAGCAAAGGGAGTAGGGTCCAGACTCAAGAAGTTGCTTGAGTCAGTACCTGAAAAAGAGAAGCATTCAGTCTCCCCTGGTACTTTTGTATTGATTTATGAATAGAGCATTGCATGGATTCATCCTGCTTAACCTGTTAGCAAAGGTAAGTCTTCAGAGGAAAAAAGAGAAATAGATTAAATGCCCCCTTTGTTTCAGGTACTACAAAAGGTTTGGGACACAAAGGTGGCTCGAATTTAGCCTTACTCTATATGAGATTGGGAACACAGATGAAAAGAGGAGATTCCTGCCCTAACTTATCATATTTTAATGAGACAAGGGCCAGTCCAGAATACAGGAGCATAGAAGATTCTTAATTAGATACTTTCAAGGGCTTTTGAAGGCTTTCAAAAAAGGTGACATATGTGAACAAATTGAATATAGATGCCAGTTGAACATTTGAAATGTGTCTGGTGTTATTGGGGTATGAACTTTGCTTTTTGTTAACTTTTAATATACTTAAGTGTAAATATTAACAGATGGCCAGTTACTAGCACATAGGACAGCACAGGTCTACATCATATACTTATTGCCTTGCTAAGTATTAATGTTTGTAGCATGATGATGCTTAATCTTTTCATAGAACAATAAACAAAACTGTGAACATGATTTAGAGATGGAAAAATTGGGAGCTATATTTGAATAAAGACAAGTACAACAGACTAGCAAAGATGAAATGAGGACTGACAGTCAGTCTTTGGTGATACTTGTAGTGAGTGAAACTAGAAATTGAGATGGATTTGACACAGAAAGTATAACCATTGGTGAACAGCTGAGTGGGAAGAAGTGTGGATGAGTAAGGGCTGGATGACGCATTAGGAACATTTTGAGATGGCAAGTCAGTAGTTGTAGAAGCAAGATGACTCAACGAAGAAACAGACTTGGGGCAGAAGACAAAGAATTTTGTCTTGTCTGAGAGGAATTGCAATTTTCTATTTATCTATTGGTATGATTCCAATAGAATAATTTATATAGTGGTATAATGCAGATTGGAATTGGTGTTATTGGGTAGAATACACAATAATAATAAAAATAATTATAAGACATAACATATTATTAATATAATATGTGTCACAAATTCTTTTTGTGTAATAATATAAAATATAACAGAATAACAAAAAGTTAGGGATAAAGCTGTCAACTTATAAGCCATCACTGATGAATGGTGTATCTTGAGATTGTCTACTTCCCAGATAGACAAGGAAAAGCAATTAAGGAAATAGTGTTAAACTTGGAACCTTGGAAAATTTCATCATTGAAGGGAAAAACAGAGGAAGTAAATC